ATGTATTTATTTATTTATTACTATGCACTCGTAGGTGACAATGACAATCATGCTTTCTGGAAGAGTTGAACGGGGCTCCATGAAGCAGCGAAAGAGCACACATGGATCCGTGGATCACACCTCGCTTTGCTCAACCCTGGTCTTAAATCACTGCTGGCATAGGTAACTGGTACATGTGCTATGAGTGTTGTCACAGTTCCCTCAGAATTCCACTTATGTCAAACATGCAGTCGAGTGCCAAACATTAGCACAAGTTGAGCACGTGGAGCAACCCAAAGCGATAGTAACAACGTCGAGCGCCTAATCTTTGGATGCATGTCCCTCGATCAGCAGCTTGGAATGTTCCGAACGTATGAGAAGGAGCAGAGGTCATAGACAAGGCGAAGTGAAGCATCATTATAGTGGAAGGTGTTTCATTTATGACGCTCGCTTGCAGACTTGCTTTGCAGCCGGGCTCGCGTTCTAGTAGTCATTCGGTGGGTTGTCTGCGTCCCTCTCGTCCCTGTGCTATTTCGCTCGGTGTTTCTTCGTTGTACATTCGTTCACCGTCCAAAAGGAAAAGCTATATTTTCAGTGTTCTCGGCGATTTGTTTTCCTTCTCGTTTACTGGTGGTCCATTTCGCCTACCTCTACTGTCATTTTCAAGCGCTATAAAAACGAAATCTAGGCGATCGTGATCTGTGCCTTTAGGTCTTCTTAGTGCATCATAACTTATCAACATTCACGCGCAGAGTTGGTGTGCTGGCGAGTTCTCACTAGCACTCACAGCTCAAGCAAACGTTGAAATTTCCAATTTTATTCTTTATTGCTACTCTAGTCAAGCCTCCTTTTGTCACAGTGATACTACGGGTAAATTGCACTAAGTTTCGGAGAAGTATCGACGGAGTTCCCAGGCAGCGTGGTTATCCATTACCCTCACTGTTCAGAAATGATACCTTTTTCCGAAAGACGGTTAAAAATCACCTGTTCTGTCGACATCCGGGCAAAGCCGAATGAACTGCGGTAGGGCATACTGCGCCAAACTAGCTGTTAGACGATTACCGATTCGTTCCACAAAATCTTCGTCACTGGAGGTGTCGTCATGGTTTCGAACGACCGCTGCCATACCAGCTCGACCTTCTCGTCCTAAAGAAAGCATAGCAATATGAAAATTGTTGACAACTCCGCAGGACCATCACAAGCCTCACATGCCACGATGGTAGTTCCTGTGGCCAAAACCGGAGCTAAGTTCCTAGTCTATTCGCTAACCTGGCACGGTCACTCCGTATACAGTGGCATCAGCGACGCCTTTCTCTGGATGCAGTATAGCCTCCACTTCGGTTGTGCTTACGTTCTCTCCTTTCCATCGGAATGTGTCACCAGTGCGGTCCTTGAAGTACACGTAACCGAGACGATCCCAGTAGAGGAGATCTCCTTCAATGAAATCAACATTATATCTTTGAAAATGGTTATAGAGATGATATAATAGTACTGTCCATAATTATTATATTTTGAGACGGTTCACGTAAATTTATGTTTACACAGATTGATTACTCTGAAAAATTAAGAGGACAGGACATGAGGATCGGTGCGGCGCGACGCGACGCAATGAAAGCGGCGTTGAAAAGACGCCATCTGTCATTCAAAAATATGAAAGCTTCACTTGAACCTTTTCATGAGCTCAGAACTTTGATTACTAAGAGACCAGTGGGATGTTCGGCTGGTTCGATGGCTGCCGAAATGACTGGTAAAATGTCCTCTTCAACTTTCGTTAAGTGTCGCTCGAAGGCACATTCCGCTATCATTCGATGGAACAATCTGTCCCACGAGTGAGCTAGTTGGGTCTGCAACCGCAGACGTACTGCCACTTTCGGACATGTTTACGCAACAAAAAACCAGGGCCCCCGTCACTTGGCTGGCAATGGTAGCTGCTGTACTGCACCACTAAAATGCGATATGTCTGCGTCTCACTTGTCACCATGCTCTCTTCTCTGTTCCTTCACCTCGAAGCACAGCGCCTCTTCGCCGTACCGCTATCAAACTAGCCGAAGGAGGTACGTAATTTCATTATTTTCAACGGATTCTTTTTCGCTTTTTTCTTGATTGCGGCCTTATTCACATCCCCCTGCTTCATTTTGAGTCGCGAATGTCTGTGACCTCTCATAACTCCAAACTGTTCC